TCCCGCCACACACACACGCACCCGCACCCCGTGCCACGGGTTAGCTTGGGGGGACGGGGAGCCGGCTGTGGGTGCTGGGATTCCTCAGCCTCTGGTGTCCCGGGTGGCGGAGGGGTAGGTAAGCGAGACAACCCCCCCCCTGTTTTCCCTGTCTCAAGCTGTTTTCCAGGATTGGGGTGAGAGTGTGGGGGAGAAGGGGGGGGACGGGAGGGGGGGGTATTCAGGGCCTGCGGTCAGGGATGTGATTTATTTACTTATTTGTACGTATTTGTTTATTCTTTGCCAGTCCTGGGGCTTGAACTCAGGGCCTGGGCACACTGCCCCTGAGCTGTTCTTTGGCTCTACCACTTGAGCCACAGCACTACTTCCACCTTTTTTTTTTTTTTCTAAGTGGTACTGAGGAATGGAACCCAAGGGCTTCGTGCGTGCTAGGCGAGCACCTTCCCAGCTCTATTTTTTTAAATTTATTTATTATTATTATACTTGGGATATTGATTGTCAAGCAGCTCGGAACTTTCTTTGTCCACCTTTTGGGGACAAAGTTGGCTTGGAGTGGGACAGTGTTTGCTTTAAGGCAGGCTCTAGGGGCCTTGTTTTGGCCTCCGGTTGTAACCTCTCCCCAGGTGAGAATGGTTTCCTTAAGATGACATTCCTCCTTAATTTGTGGTGGGTTCCGTGATAAACACCAAACAGTAGGTTGTAATATTTGGATGAGATTTTTGTTTGTTGTTGTTTTGTTTGTTTGTTTTTCACTTGGGATAGTTTTTTTGTTTTGCATTTGGAATTGAATTTTTGTATAGAGGCTTTGAAAGAGTTATGTTCATTTATTATAGTAATTTGAAATATATACTTAATGAGAAAAAGTACGGATTTCAATGAGACTTGCTTGAGAAAGAATAGTTGCTAGTCATGTTTTACTATAGCTAGTTTATCTCCCCAAAGTGATGAAACAGCTTATTTACAATTTTAATGTATGGGACATGTTGCAGATCTTCAGACCTTTAAGGAGAAATTTAATGACTCTATACTTTTTTGTTTTATTTGGCTTTGTATGTCTTGAACCGAAGAATTTTAATACCCACTCCCTACTCCCATGCGTACTTTAGGTTTTTAGGACATGGATTAAAGTTATAGCATTTGAGCAAAGGGATGACATTGTCCAAAAAATATGCTCATTACCTGACTTATGAAACTAACCCCTGTGCACATCACCTTTATAATAATAATTTAGAGCCTTGGTCCTGGAAAGCATTTGGTCTCAGTGTTCCAAATCTGTGTTCTATACCAACCCAAAGTGGTGAGTGGGCTGCTTTTGCACATTAGCATTAATAGAGACATGGAAAGCATTATGTTAAATTATCGTAGTAACTGGAAATACATACTTTTGAGAAAGCTTACAGATTTGGGTATGAGTCACTTGAGAAAGAACTGTTTCAGAGACCACAGAATGCCCTGGCCTTTGTGTTCAGGGGATAGTTTGTGGATGAGAATGCTTCAATGTGGTGCTCTTGCAAGCCAGAATAACCTAAAGGAACAACAGAGGGCTGGGAATGTGGCTTAGTGGTAGAGTGCTTGCCTAGCATGCATGAAGCCCTGGGTTCAATTCTGCAGCACCACATAGATAGAAAAAGCTGGAAGTGGCTTGCCTTGAGCACAGAGAGGCTCGAGGACAGTGCCCAGGACCTGAGTTTAAGCCCCAGGACTGGCAAAAATAAAGGAACAACAAACAGAAATGATGGTTTGTACCCGGCCAAATGTTTCAGTGAAGCCGGGAGAGGGAGGATGAGGGAGGAGGCTGTGGGGACAGGCTGTGGGGGCGTTAGCCTCACTGAGGAGTGGTTATCAATGCCAGGCCTGTCTGCTCTGAGAATACCACAAGACCGTTCCCACTAACAGTTTGAACATTTAAGATTTTGCTTTGTATCTTTTTGAAACCTAGATGAAGATCCAGTTTCTGACATGAGATTCACTGAGTGATCATTTCATTGAGATCAACTTGAATAACCAGGTATTCAGTGCAAGAGGAATACACCATGGCTGAGGTATGTGTCATGTGACTCCTTTTAACTAATAATCCTGTCAGGCAAATGACCCTCAGAGAAGCTAAGGAACTATTTTAGGCCATTGGTTAGCAGCTCTGATCAAGACCTCTGCCCTGATATGTGCCAACCATTTGGTTCTGGGTGTGTTTTCTAATCTTCACAATAACCCTGTGAGCTCAGTACTTTTATGATCCTCATTTTTGATAAGGATACCAAGTGTCTAGCTTACTGTATAGTAGAATGTCCCACAACTATGCCCGAATGCCTGGACAGCTCTGTTCTGGTCTCAGCTCTACTCTTCTAGCTGCCATTCTCAATTCTCATGGGGTTAGGGCTTTTTTGTTTTTGTTTTTTGGAGGCTGTGTGTGGGTGTGCGTGTGCATGTGTATGTGTGTGTGCACGCATGCCAGTCCTGGGGCTTGAACTCAGAGCCTGACCCCTGTCCTTGAGCTTTTAAAACTAAAGGTTAATGCTCTAACACTTGAGCCATACCTCCAGATGTGCCTTATTTGGTAGTTAATTGGGCCTAAGAGTCTCACAGACTTTCCTAACCAGGCTGGCTTTGAATCTTGATCCTCAAATTTCAGCCTTCTGAGTAGCTAGGATTACAGTTGTAAGCCATTGTCTCCTGGCTCTTCTCATTCTTGTTTGTGTTGTTATTGGCCATAGGACTTGAACTCTGGGCCTGGTTGTTGTCCCTGAGCTCTTCAGCTCAAGGTGAGCACTATACCACTTGAGCCACAGCACCATTTCTGGTTTTCTGGTGGTTCATTGGGGATAAGTAGGAACTTTGCTGCCTGGGCTAGCTTTGTCATGATCCTTAGCTCTCAGCCTCCTGAGTAGCTAGGATGACAGGCCTGAGCCACTGGTGCCTGGCCCAAAGAAAAATTTTGATAACCAAAAAAAATTTTTCTCTAGAATTAGCAGAGTTAGATAATATAAGTAATGGATGGTAAAGTAGCCAAATTAGAAACAGTTGTATGTGCCAGTCAGAATCCTTGATTGCTAGTTCATGGTCTACTTAGCAGTAGCGACTGCCTAACCACTTGGCACTCCCTTATCGTTGGAGTCCACCGAGTTGGAAGATGACCTGTAACTGTGGGTTAGACGCGGTACTCAGAATTTTCAGTAGCATCTTCCGAAAGAGAATAATAATTTTAGGGTCACATACTTTTCACATGTTCTAGATGAAATAGTCTCTCATTCTGTGTACGTGTAAAACCCCAGGCTGTTTTCTCGTGGAACAGAAAACATAAGAGTGTTAGTACTAGCCATCTTGGTAGTCCTATACCTTTGGCACAGGCATGGAATAATCTACACTGCAGAGCAGTGGACTCCTTGAACTATAACTCCCTATAACTTCAGTGATAGATTTCTCTTTTTCTTTAGGGCACTCAAATTTATTTATTACCAGTCTCTACTTCTGATTCTTCAAAAGAAGTAAAAAGCACATCGTCAGCATCTCCTAATACCCAGGATTCCAGTCAGCTGTCACAGAGACTCCTGATAGAAAAACAGGTAAACTTGCCGGGCGCTGGTAGCTCATGCCTGTAATCCTAGCTACTCAGGAGGCTGAGATCTGAGGATCGCGGTTCAAAGCCAGCCCGGGCAGGAGAGACCGTGAGACTCCTATCTCCAATAAACCACTGCCGCGGACCGGGTTCTGTCGGGACGACGGAGGATACCTAGGGGAGGAACCTGGAATAGGATGGGGAGATGGCAAACAGACAACTCACACACAAGAGGAGTGGATGCTGAGTGCTGAGTGCGATTTAATGCAGAGAATAGTAAACTTTTATAACAAAAGTCTTCATGAGAAAGGGCAAAAGGTTACACAATCTTGCTGCATGGCTTCATTTTTAGGTGGTCACCAGCTGATCGCCTGACAGGCACTTGTTTCCGGCTTATCTCTAAGGAATACAATGATTACGACGTTTTGTCACCAATTAACCATTATCTGTCTTTACAGAGGTCTTAACTTTCCCAAATAGATCTTTCCTGTTTCTTCTTTAATAGTAAACCTCAAAGAGACCTGTATCTAGCAATTCTTTAGGTCTAACAATTCTCTTAGTAAATAGCAGGAAATAATTATCTCAGCAATTGCCATACATTCTTTCTGTTCTAGCCGCGCCTACAGCTTCTTGTACATCCCTTACAAACAATTCCTTCTGCTGAAGTGACTTTGTGAAACCCCCAATACTTTTATATTTACTTATAACTTGTCTACTAAACTCCATAAGAGGGGTCTCAGGGTAGCACTTAACTCTGGTGAGTTAGTCATATTTTTTAGGACACTCATCAGATATTGGAGTCGTCAACACTCTTCAGAAAGAGCTTTGTATAAGGGAAACGTTGACAATGAGAAAGTACAAAGAGCAGTAGAAGCAGTAAAAGATTAATAGGCACTCTTATGAGAAAGAAAGGCAGAAGCACATTTTTTCCAGGGGTTTTGCCAGCCTTTTCCCAGGAGTAGGCCTCTTAGAATCCCTATTCTCCGAGGTAGACTTCGGTGAAGTCCCAAAACTTGGAGATAGGTTTCTGTAAAGCCCCATTCTCTGAGGTAGACTTCGGTGAAGTCCCAAAACTCAGAGATAGGTCTCGAGGCCCCTATCATGGTCTGATAGATGGTTTCCCATGCTAAGCAGACTCTACTGGGGTCGGCGTGGCAAACCACCAGAAAAACCGGAAGTGGCGCTGTAGCTCAAGTGGTAGAGCGCTCGCCTTGAGCTGAAGAGCTGAGGGACAGCGCCCAGGCCCAGAGTTCAAGCCCCACGGCCAACAAAAAAAAAAAAAAAAAGAAAAACAGGTAAACTTGAAATATTGCAAGTGGGAAATTCCAAACCCCAGTACTGCAAAAAAAAAAAAATTACTTTTGACAGTTTTAGCCATCTTGTAAGGGAAGAAGAGCCTTTTCTTTAGTTAAACAGTGCATCTGTTCTCATTTTTATAAGATATCCATAAAAACCTATATTTGGAGGAAATGGTTCTGTTATTGAGAACATAGGAGATGTTATGTGAAGGTTTCTCTTCATGTCCTTTTACTCTCCATGTACTTGTAGCAGGAAGAAGCAGAATGGGAAAACATAAACACGCTGTTGATGACATATGGCCTAAAACCTTTGTGTCTTGTCAAGAGGATGGACCTTAAAGGTAAGGAATCCTCTGCTTGCCCCATAAGTTCGACAGCTACTTTTCCTTTCAGACAATAGTCCGTCCTTACAGTATTTTGCACCATGTGCATCGTGTGTTTAAAATGCAGATCTCATTGTTTTTGATAAGCAGTCCTCACAGAGGATGAGGCAAAATTTGAAGGTGCTGATGGAGGAGACATCACGGCAGCAGAAGATGATCCAAGAGCTCATAGACTGCAACCAGCAGCTGAAGTGAGAACGGGACAGGCTCCTTCCATTGTTCATAACCTAGGAATGCTGGCCTGGGGTGTAGCTCACATGTAGTGTGGGTCTCTCTCTCTGTCTCTCTTTTTTTTTTTTGGTGCCAGTCCTGGACTTGAACTCAGGGCCTGGATATTGTCGATTTGAACTAGTTTTTGATCAAGGCTGATGCTCTACCACTTGAGCCACAGCGCCACTACTGGCTTTTTCTGCTTATGTGGTGCTGAGGAATTGAACCCAAGGCCTCCTCATGCAAGGCAAGCACTCTACCACTGAGCCACCTTCCCAGCCCCATGCAGCATTTTTTTTTTGTAATTGGAGATAAGAGTAACAGACTTTCCTACCTAGGCTAACTTTGAACCACAGTCCTCAGATTTGAGCCTCCTGAGTAGCTATGATTACGGGCATGAGGTACCAGTGCCCAGCTTAGAGTGTTTCTTTTTATCTCAAGACTCTGGGTTTTATCCTCAGTACTAAAACAGAAGAAGTAAGGCTAGCATGGTGATACATATCACAGCTACCAGGGGAGATGGAGGCAGGAGGATTGGGAGTTTGAGGCTAGATTGGCAGTTAGTAAAACTCTGGGTCAAAAACAAAACAGCCAGGCACCGGTGGCTCATGCTTATAATCCTAGCTACTCAGGAGGCTGAGATCTGAGGATCATGGTTTAAAGCCAGCCCAGGTAGGAAAGTCCAAGAGACTGATCTCCAATTAACCACCAGAAAACCATAAGTGGCACTGTGGCTCAAGTGGTATAATGCTTATTTTGAGCTGAATAATTCAGGGACAGCACCCAGGCCCAGAGTTCAAGCCCCACAACTGACCAAAAAAAAAAACCAAAAGGGCTGGGGGTGTGGTTCAAGAGATGGAGCACTTGCTGAACAATCCAAGGCCCTGTTTCAGTCCTCAGGTCGGGGAGGCGGAAGATGGGGGAGGGAGAGAAGACATAAAAGTAGAAATACTAAAACTGCAAAAGACTGTCTAGAACATCAGTAAGTTGTTCAGTGGGTATGGGTACTAAGAGATGGATTTGTGTCTTGAATTAGAAATGACCTTCAGCTAGAACAAAACCGAGCAGACCATCAGGAGCAACGGGCTAATGACTTAGAAGAAGTGATGGAGGGTGTGAAATCCAAAATTGGTGAATTGGAAGATGAATCGCTTAATAGGGTTTGCCAGCAACAGAGTAAAATCAAAGAGCTTCAGAAGGAACAGAGAGCTTTACAGGTACTGGCTTACACATGTCCTTCGTTTACTGCTCCTATCTGATGTTACTAAAGTGCCGCTTGTGGTCTGGGTGATTCAGGATGCTTTCACGTGTGTGTCTGTGGCAAAGAACTGCAGCCAAGGGAACTCCACAGATGTCTGAGGTTCGTTGAAGATGCCCGGGGAGAGGCGATTCGCATTGGCATAGGTTTTTAATGCCATCACTGCCCAGTCTTCGTTCACTTGGTGTGGGTTTCTCCTTGGTTGACCTGTGCCACTGCTACCTTTCTGAGGCTCTTTGTTTGGCTCCCAGAACCTTTGTTTCTCTCTCACCTCACTGGTCCTTCTTGATGTCTGGTTCTGGTTCTTCTCTTCCCCCTCACCTCTTAGTGTTGGGATGCCCCAGCGCTTTAGTCCGTGGAGCTTTGGTGTGTACTCCAGTCTAATTCATGGTTCTAGATTTACATCTGTAGCTCAAGCCTCCCTTCCCACTAATAACAGACTCAGCCAGCTGCCTGCTTGTATTTCACTTGGAAGTCTAAAAGGCAGCCATAACTATTATGCACAAAAACTGAGTTCTCTGGTACTATCTCAACATTAAATACTTCCCAGTGTCACAATCCCTTCATTAAACTTTGGGTGTTCATGATGGAGCCTCTTGGCACAGTCTATCCACATTAAAAGAAATAGAAAAATGAAGGACAGGAGAATGAGGGCTCTATGAGGGACACTAGATTTGGAGTGGACTGAAGCACACTTTGGGTGTTTACTATGATGAAAGGAAATGAGTATTTTGTGGCGATAACCAATTAGGGAAGGTGAAAGTGTCTGTCACATTATAGTTCACTATTTAGGCACATTCTTTGATTTTTTTAGTATACGATCATTTGCACTTTTTAGATGGGTTAGTGATGCATGTTTTGCAAGTTGGACCAAGGAAACATTGGTTTTCTGTGTCGGAGAGGTCAAGGAACCGAAGTGTTAGAGTTATGCAGAAAGACTGTGGGAGAAAGATTTTATGTGGAGATAAGTAATTATTCAATTAATACCCAACCTTTTTCCATTTAGCCTGTCAGGTGAGAGCCATCTATGTGGTTTGCCTGGCCTCTATACAAGGAAAGGATTGGTCCTGGCTAGGCACTGCTGGAAGGTGGTAGAGTCTTTAGGAGGTGAGGCTTAGTGGTGGGAGGTCCTTAAACCATTTAGGGTCATAGTCTTGTAGAAGGTTATAGGACCCCAATTGTTGCTCATGATGTAAAGAAGTTTGCTCTGCCATGTGCTCTTGCCATGATGTGTGGGCCTTGCTAAAGGCCCAAGAAATGGGGCCACTCGTTCTTCCTCTGGAGCACCCAAAACTCTTAAGGCATATGTATACATATATATATAATATATTATGTACATATTATATATATATTTTTTTTTATTTTTGGCCAGACTTGGGGCTTGAACTCAAAGCCTGGCCTCTGTCCCTGAGCTGCTTTTGCTCAAGATGAGCATTCTACCACTTGAGCCACTGAGCCACATCAGGCTTTTTTTTTTTTGGTCGGTCGTGGGGCTTGAACTCTGGACCTGGGCGCTGTCCCTCAGCTCTTCAGCTCAAGGCGAGCGCTCTACCACTTGAGCTACAGCGCCACTTCTGGTTTTCTGGTGGTTTATTGGAGATAGGAGTCTCACGGTCTCTCCTGCATGGGCTGGCTTTGAACCGTGATCCTCAGATCTCAGCCTCCTGAGTAGCTAGGAGTACAGGCGTGAGCCACCAGCACCCGGCATAATATGTCACTATTTTTTTTTTTTTTTGTAAGTCATGTTCCCTGACCTCTGGGCCTGGATGCTGTCCCTCAGCTCTTCAGTTCAAGGATAGCACTCTACCACTTGAACCACAACACCACTTCCGTCTTTTTCTGCTTATGTGGTGCTGAGGAATCGAACCCAGGACCTCAAGCACTCTGCCACTGAGCCACCTTCCCAGCCCCCACATCAGGCTTTTTATGTTGATGTGGTGCTGAGGAATCAAACCTAGGGTTTCATATGTGCTAGGCAAGCACTCTACCACTAAGCCACATTCCCAGCCCCTAAACTTTTTTTTGTGCCAGTCCTAGAGCTTAAAGTTAGGACCTAGACTTTGTCCCTGAGCTTCTGCCCAAGGCTATCACTCTACCACTTGAGCCACAGCACTGCTTCCAGCATTTTCTGAGTATTGATAAGAGTCTCATAGACTTTCTTGTCCCGGCTGGCTTCAAACCGCAATCCTTAGATCTCAGCCTCCTGAGTAGCTACAAGTACAAGTGTGAACCACCAGCATTGGCAATAAGATTAATTTTTAAAGAAGTCCTACTTTTCAAAAGTGGCTGTATCAATCAATTTACATTCCCACTAAGGTATAGATGAAAATTTCTTTATGCTGGTAGTGGGCTTGAGCCGAGGATCTGTATTTTTTGTAAGTAAAGGTAATTTGACTTCTTTTCCTATTTGTATCTCACTTATTTCTCTTGCCTTATTATTCTAGCTAAGAACTCAGTCACTATATTTTCAGTTTTTCCTCATTCAGTATAATATTAGTAGTAGGTTTGTTGTAGCTTTTATTATGTTGAAATAAGATCCTTTTATCCCTAACTTCTTCAGGGTTTTTTGTTTTTTGTTCTTTGTTTTTTTTTTTGGTCTGGTCGTGGGGCCTGAACTCTGGGCCTGGGCACTGTCCCTCAGTTCTTCAGCTCAAGGCTAGGGCTCTACCACTTGAGCCACAGCACCACTTCCGGCTTTTTTTTTTTTTTCTGCTATGTGGTGCTGAGGAATGGAACCCAGGGCCTCATGCATGCAAGGCAAGTGCTCTACCATTGAGCCACTTTCCCAGCCCCTTCTTCAGGGTTTTTTATGGAAGGATGCTGAATTTTGTCAAATGCTTTTTCTGTATCTACTGAGATGATCATGCAGTTTTTGTCCTTCTCATACATTCTGTGTTACTCATGTGTATATTTTATGAACCATCCTTGCATCCATCCATAGAATGAAACAACTTAATCATATGTTTGACTTTTGCATGTGTGTATACTAAGGCTTGAACTCAGGGCCTCTCATTTGTCTTTTTTATTATGGCTGGTGCTCTGCCAGTTGAGCCATACTTCCAGTCCCAACATTTTGCTGGCTAATTAGAGATAAGGGTCTTTGGGGGTTCTGAACCATAATCTCAGATCTCAGCCAGGCATGTGCTACTGGTGTCCTGTGTATGTGAGCTTTTTCTTTTTTTTGATTGGTTGTAGGCCTTGAACTCAAGGCCTGGCTCTGTCCCTGAGCTCTTTGTGCTCAAAGCTAGTGCTCTACCACTTTGAGTCACAGCGCCGCTTCTGGTTTTTGAATAGTTAATTGGAGATGAGAGTCTCATGGATTTTTTTTCCCCTGGGCTGGCTTCAAACTACGATCCTCATTATGAAATCTTGAATATGTGCAAGTATACATTATGATTTCCTTTTGAAGTTTTCATATTGACATAGTACTATTCTTGCGCCCATTTAAAAGCGCATCAGGCCAGGCCTGATTTATTTATAAATAAAAGAGCATGAGTGCTGACATTCCTGAGTGGCCTGTGAAGAAGCCTCTGTGTGGAGCTGTTGGAAAAGCACACCCTGGGTGTGCGTTTCATAACCATCTTCACAAAATCTCTTGCAGATGAAATGCCAACATTACAAGAAGAAACGAGTGGAACAGCAAGAGATTATTACTTCTTTGCAAAAGGAGATGTGCAGACTAAGGAAAGAGGAGGAGGAGCGTGTTATCACTCAGAACAGAGTGTTTTCCTACCTCTGCCGCAGAGTTCCCCACAGCATCCTGGACAGACAGTAATGCTCACTACCCACCCCCCTGACCCTGCTAGGCCCCGTTCTTACTGTGACTCCATGTTGGAAGTGGTCTTGCCCATAATAACTGGAGGAATCCTCCTGCTCCTTGTGATTTTCTTCCGTAAAGCCTGTATTTTTTTTTCCTTTTGACATATCACTCTGGAGGAATGGAGTTAGACATTTGTTCAGAATAACAATAACTATTGAAAATTAACAAAATTGAACTCCCGATTAATTTTAAAACTTTAATTTTTTTTTTATTTTAACTGGTCTGCACATATTAATGGGATACTGTTTCAGTACATGCATAGGTTAACGCTCTACCACTTGAGCCACAGCTCCACTTCTGGCTTTTTAATTGGTGTTTAATTGGAGACAGAGTCTAATGGACTTTCCTTTCCGAGCTGGCTTTGAATCACAGTCCTCAGATCGCAGCCTCCTGAATAGCTAGATTTATAGGTATGAGCCATGGGTGCCTGAATTGCATTTCTTTATGTTGAAACTTTCAAAGTCTTTTTACCTTTTGAAATGTGTAGTAATTTATTACTGATAATCTCCCTGGGCAACAGCATGGCATAGCTTCTTATTCCTATATAATTGTCCCTTAGAAGCCACTGGTCAACTTTCCCCGCTTCTCTTCCCCTGGCATTCTGTCTTCCACTTCTGTGAGATCAACTCCTTAGGTGCCACCTTTGTGATCATAAACTTGTCTTTCTGGGATTGGCTTATTGGACTTAACATCACCTTTAGTTCCATTCTGACAGGGTTTTATCCTTTAGGGATGAATAATATTTCAATGAGTGTGTGTACCACTTCTGTTTTATCTGTTCATCAAATACAAGGAGGAGTTAGCTCTGCCAGGCCCTCCTTCAATTTTCTCTTAAAACAATGTTATGACCACTAACATGCTTTGTTCTATAATATGTAAAAAGACTTGAGAATCAACAGCAGTGTTGCTTGCCCTGAGCCTCCTGGATAAAATCTATTTCTTTGTTCCTCTGTTTAATGTTAGTGATGCATTCTTTTATGGAATCAGGTAAAACCTGGTATTCTAAACATATTCAAGTACTACTTTCCTCTCTGTTCATATCACCAATTTAATAGACTTAGGTTTATGTGTTTCAGTTTATTTTCAATTTTCAAAAATTGCTTTCTAGTAGAGCACTAGCCTTAAAGAGCTGAGGGACAGCGCCCAGGCCCAGAATTCAGGCTGCACAACCGGCAAAAAAAAAAAAAAAAAAATTGCTTGGTTTTTTGTTTGTTTTTTTTGTCGGTCCTGGGGCTTGAACTCTGGGCCTGGGCGTTGTCCCTGCGCTCTTCAGCTCAAGGCTAGCGCTCTACCTCTTTCTACCTCTTGAGCCACAGCGCCACTTCCTATTTTTTATTTACTTTGAAGTACATAAAGCAGTTACATAATTCTAGAGTCAAAACCACAATGAATTTTTTTCCAAGAAGTTGTATATTTATTCTTCCCCTCTAAGCTTACTCTTCTTTCACCTTATAGGTACTTGATTTTAAAGGTTTATTGTGAATTTTAGTAGTGTAAACAATACAGATACTATATTCACATCCTCTTTCTTGTCTAAAAGCCCTCACTCAGTGCTACCAGCTTCATTTAAACCAGTCTCACTTTTTCATAGTAGGATTGAGAATCTACTGACTAGGTGACAATAAGTGAGTCAGATATATAAGAAGCTAAAAGTATAGATTGTTTGGATGACTGTTAATATATGTATGTACAATCTTACCCTTTTGAAGGAAAAAACAATTTCATGATAAATGTAGTATAATGGGAAGTAGGTAGGTGTGAGAGATTAGAACGATAAATGTATAATGGGCAGTAGGTGTGAGAGATTGAAGAGGGAGCACGGGAAGGGGAGGGTGAGAGAGGAAGAATTGTGATTTAACATTATTAGAAATGCAAGTGTTGTCAGAACAGAGCACACACCAATGAGAAAAGCCTTGAGGTATGCGGAGGTGGGAGGAGTGTGCCCCATGGTGAAACTGGAGGCGGAGGGATGGGTCCTGGGATGGTTTGCGGGGGAACTCGGGAATAGTGAAGCCGGAGGGGGACCAGTGGGTGGCTTTGTAACTAGACTCTCAGTAACTGTCCAATTTAAATGCAGAGAAAAGGCTTTCCAATTAGAGGAATACCCAAGCGGGGAAGGGTTAATGTGTTTGGGAATGGTAGGTAATCCAAGAGGGCTGAAGTACTGGGTGTGAGAGGTATGCCCCCCCCATTGTGTATTGTCTCCCCACACCCTTCCCCCAATTGGGTGGTGCTGTCAGGTCCCTGATGCCTTCACAGCCACCACTACCCCCCATGTGCTCCCTCGGCCGCAGTATTGTCTCCCCAGTTCAGAACCCTTAGGGATCAGGTTGCCTGTGGCTCACGCCTATCATCCTAGCTACTCAGGAGCCTGAGATCTGAGGATTGTAGTTCAAATCCAGCGCTGGCAGAAAAGTCTATGAGACTTATCTCCAATTAACCACCAAAATCTGGAAGTGGAGCTGTGGCTCAGGTGGTAGAGTGCTGGCCTTGAGCAAAAAAGCTAAGAGACAGCACCTGGGCCTAGAGTTCAAGTCCAGGACTGAAAAAAAAAAACCCAAAACACAAACAAAAAATAAATTTCTTAAAGAGGCCAAGTGCCAGTTGGGTCTCATTTGTACTCCTAGCTACTCAGGAGTCAGAGACCTGGAGGATCACAGTGTAAGGCCAGCCTCTGTTGAAAACTGAAAGACTGGAATTAACCAGCAAAAAACCAGACTAGAGGTGTGGCTCAAGTGATAGAGCATAGTAATGCCAAAAAAAAAAAGAGTCCCTAGAATTCTTTCCCAATACAAACGTTTGAATTCATACAGATTTTCTTTTTAGATAAATGTTAAAGCATACCAGATAATCTATCTTTAATTTTATCGCTATAATTAGGTGATAATATTCTGCTTAAGAAAAAATACATTTGAGCTGGGTGTGGTGGTTCAAGCCTATATTTCTAGCTACTCAGGAGGCTGAGGTCTAAGGATTGTGGTTCAAAGCCAGCCTGGGCAGGAAAGGCCGTGAGACTCTTACCTCTAATAAACCACTCAGAAAACTGGAAGTGGCTATGGCTCAAGTGGTAGAGCTCTTGCCTTGAGCTGAAGAGCTTAGGGACAGTGCCCAGACCCAGAGTTCAAGCCCCATGACTGACCAAAACAAAAACAAAAAACATTTGAGCCGGGCATCACTGGCTCACGCCTGTAATCTTAGCTACTCAGGAGGCTGAGATCTGAGGATTTCAGTTCAAAGCCAGCCTAGGCAGGAAGCTCCAGGAGACTCTTATCTCCAATAAACCTCCAGAAAACCAGAAGTGGCACTGTGGCTTAAGTGGTAGAGCACTCGCCTTGAGCTGAAGAGCTGAGGGACAGTGCCTAGGCGCCCAGAGCTCAAGCCCCATGATCAACAAAAAGGAAAATAATTCAATATGTCTTCTGTTTTCTAGGTTGCTTTGTCTAATTGATTACTATGAATCTAAACTTAGAAAAATCAATTCACAAAGGTATGAATAATCCTGGATTAGAATTTGTAATGAAAATGAAAATTTTAGTTTCTGAAACTTGAAGTACATTATCAAAATCTTTCTACTATTATCACTATTAAAGTTCTTTTATAAAAATCTAGAAGATTATTTTACTAAGGTTAAAATGTATATATATATATTAAAAATATGTATATTTCATAAGCACACAAGTATTGGTGAGAACAGAAATATTTTGTTTTATTGACAAGCTGTTCCTCAAGTTACTAGCACTACCCAATCACTAAAATGCTGGCAAACAGGGCACCAGTGGCTCACACCTGTAATTTTAGCTACTCAAGAGACAGATCTGAGGAGAGCATTTCAAAGCCAGCCAGGGCAGAAAAGTCCAAAAGACTTATCTCCAATTAGCTAGCAAAAAGAAACTGGCCTAAAGGCATGGTTCAAGTGGTAGAGTGCCAGCTGTGAGAGAAAAAGCCAAACAAGAGCATGAGCCCCAATGCACACACACTGGGCACAGTGGCACATGAGTATAAGCTGGGGCAGCCCCACTATCAAAAAAAAAAAATTTTTTTTAATAATATAAATGCTCGGGGCTGGTAAGTTGGCTCAGTGGTAGAGCGCTTGCCTTGCAAGACTGAGGCCCTGGGTTCGATTCCTCAGCACCACATAAGCAAAAAGAAAAAAGCCGGAAGTGGCGCTGTGGCTCAAGTGGTAG